CCAAACGCGAGACCCTACGACACAGAGTTCAGCTGACGGCGCCCCTGCAACCCTCAAAAGAAAGCCATACATTTCCAGGTCACGAGTGAATTTAACAACTCTCTGGAGGGAGAACGTACAGAGTGCAGCGGGGGCTCCGAGGCCTGGGGTGCAGCTTTGTGGACACACTCCCGTGGCTTTTTCGGGGCACGTGCCAATGCCAACGAGGCCGCGGCTTTCGCCGAAAGCTTCGGCCGAGGCTTTCACAGCCGAAAGCGCTTTTGGAGCGTGGTGGTTAAGTAGGAAAATGCCACCTGGAAAAGGATTTGGGCTGTTTCTTGCTCTCTTTTGGTTTTGGTTTGGTTTTGGTTTTTTTGGGGGGGGGTGTGAGAGGAGCTGTTTGGAAGGAGCCAAGTGGAGGAGGGAGAGCACCGTGAATTTTCTAGCAAGTATTGCACCTCTAATACTTGGGAAAAAAAGAAGTCAATACAGAATTTCGAGCTGTTGCATGCAGCTTTGCCTCCTCTCGTTAAAAGTACACACCATTTACGTAACGTCTCTCTTTTTTAAACATAACTTTTTTTTTTTTACACTTTTTCTTTTTTTTTTTTTCTATTGTTTTAACGTTACACAATTCTAAAGTAGTAGTAGTAGTAGTAGTAGTAGTAGTATACCCTCCTCTGGTTTTATTACCAAACAACAAGTATGCAGTTACCAAAAGTTACAGAAGGATTCCGTTTATACAATCAATACATTGGGTTAAAAATATTCTATTGTATATTTTTCCTCTCCATATGGACACCGTGTCTAGTCCCACTTTTCATTATGCTGCCGGCTGAGTACTGAGTACGGGTACTTTTTAAGTATTGAGGTGTATACAAGGCTCTCACTTTGTAACCTGTAGCATATAAATGCGACAAAGCATGTTAAAAAGTTTTCCATTGTCATCAAATATCAAATCATCGAGGCAATGAGAAAGGGCACGTTAATAACATCGAGCTCCTTACCTGCTGGAGACACTGAAATCCATCACCACAGCACTCTAAGGTGGGCCGAGTTCCCCTACCTGCCCTGGGCGTCCCCTGAAGGCCACCTGTGCTATGGACAGCACCAACTCTACGTCCATAAGGCTGGGGGGGAACCCTTTGTAAGGGTCTGGCCAGCTGGGAATTCACTAGGGATGCGAATTTGAGCTGGGAGCGAGGTGTGAAAATCAGAGACAAGGTGACAAATCTTTGGCGGGAGAAAAGCTCTGAAGGGGCTAGAAATTTGAAGATGTGATGATAGACGTTTCAGGTGTCTACATCTACTTTATAATTGTTAAGAGATAAAAGCCACGGGGGGTGAAATCTTTATGCAGATCCGCGGGACTCTGTTCCGCGCCAGCCAATCCCGAGCTGGATGTTCCCACACAAACCAGCCCTTGTTTGCACGCCTTTCTCGGGTTCCTCTGATAAAGATTTCATGCCACGTCAATTTGCTGCGGCAGAGCTATGCAGGGTGGGGCCTCCCACTGCCAAACCGGGCCGTGCCACACGGGAACAAGTTGCCTGCGGAGAGCAGCTGCCACGAGGGCCACCCTGCCAGCACCAGGGCGGGCACAGCGTGTCCCGTGCCACACCTGAGGACACTCTGCATGGCTCTGAGCAGCAGGTGAGGGGATGGAACACACACAAAGCTACGAATTCCCTCTCTGAGGAGCCTCTGGGGATGGTTTTCCTCCCTCACCTCTACCAGAACAACCTGCCCGGAGGGGGTGGGGGGCACAGCTGAAGGCACAGGCGAACCAAAGCGGGTCGTGCCATCGGTTCCAACTGATCCGGAGCAGCGGAACGCTCCGACGGGGAGCTGGCCTGGGAGCCAAACCTCTGCCCTCTGCCCTGGGGGTCCTCCTCCACGCTCCAAGTGTCTCAGGCTCTGCTGAGGAGGCTCCTGCCCTCCACACCCCTGACCTGCCCAAATCCGCCCTGCTGAGGCGCAGGGAGGGAGCCCTGGACCCCCTGGGAGGTTTGTGTGTGTTCCACCCACAGTTACTGTTAAACCCCACGGAGGTTCCACCTCGGGGCGACCACGAAGGGAGCTGAAAGTGCCAAGGTCAGCAACACCCCCAATTTACCCCTCCCAGGAGCCCAACCATCCGCAGGACAAACCAAACACATCCTGCTCCCTGTCTCCCCTGGGTACAGAACGCTTCCATGGATTACAAGCAATGCCATAACAGAGATGTTCCCCATGGAAGCGCCGTTGGGAAGGACAACCTTTCAGTCCCTTCTTTTCCGTTTCGAATCCTATGGGTAAACCAGGATTAGGTAAAAGGAGAAAAAGCTTTGCTCTTACCCCATTCCACCGCGTCCTCCTCCCCGCCCACCTCTGCTCATGCCTCCTCGATCATATCCCCCTCGTCCCCTGCCCCGGCTATCGGGGCCGCTCAGATTCCGGGTCTCTCCTGGGCCGGAGAAGCCTCCGGATTCCTGCCCGTACATGTTCATGCTGCTGGGATGGTCCTGGCGGAACGAGCCTGGGGAAGTGTGGGACACACACACGTCAGGGACATGCAGCCCTTCCAGCTGCCCTCAGCCCCAAGGGCAGCACCACAGGGACTGAGGCTGGAGAAGCCCTCTGAGGTCATCAAACCCAACTGTTCCCCCACCACTGACCCACGTTCCCGAGGGACACATCCACATGGATTTAACTCCCTCCAGGGATGGGGACTCTACCCCTGCCCTGGGCAGCTGTGCCAGGCCTGATCACCCCTTCCTTGAAGGAATTTTCCCAAATATCCAATCTAAACCTTCCCTGGCACAGCTGGAGGCTGTTTCCTCTCATCCCATCCCTCGTTCCCTGGGAGCAGAGCCCGACCCACCCCCGGCTCCCCCCTCCTGTCAGGGAGTTGCAGAGCCAGAAGATCCCCCCTGAGCCTCCTTTTCTCCAGGCTGAGCCCCCCCAGCTCCTCACCCACCTCCTCATCCCAAACACTTCGTGCTCTGTATTTCCAGGGGATTATCCCAACCTGCCACCGCTGCGGCAGGAAAGGACAAACCCCAGGGACAACCCTTCAACACAGCTCCGAGTTTCAGCCCCAGAACAACCCCAGGGCCGCCCCTGAGGGCTCCCACTCACTCTGCTGGCCGTAGCTGCTGCTCTGCTGGCTGTACTGGCTGGGGGCCTGGCTGTAGGATGCGCTGGGAGGGGGGTAGCTGGTGGGAGGGGGTTGCTGCCCGTAGCTGCTCTGCTGCCCATAACTGCTCTGCTGGCCGTAGGAGCTCTGCTGCCCGTAGCTGCTCTGCTGGGAGTAAGTGCTCTGGTCGTAACTGCTTGGCTGTGTGGAGGAATAGCTGGAAGAGAAAAGCACGGGAAAGGCGGGAATGACGAGGCAGTTCCCCGGCGGGGCGCGTGAGGCTGGAAGGCAACGCGGTCACGAGCCATATGTAGGGTTGTAAATCATTTTAAAGGCTGGAGTCACCCTATGGAGGCCAGGCTGGAGGGCTGTAAAAGCAACATCCATGTGAGCAGTCCTAGCTTAGTCATACCTTTAGGAAAAGGCACGAGTGACAGGGCAAAACTCAGTGGCAGCAGAGCTAACAGGCTCCCCTCCTGAATTATTTTCGGCTGCTGGATAATAAAAGTTCCCCTCAGGCAGCTCAGGCTTTGAGGATTTCCAAATGTACCTTTTAGAAGTCACACCAAAGACACCTGAGGGGAGAGGGGAGCTCCTGGGCCAGCTGTGTGTGTGCAAGGAGGCAGCAAAAGGTCACTGCAACACACCCCAGGAAAATCCCGACAATTCTCAATTCTGACAATTAAAAAACGTAGGAAATCCCTTAAAACGTTTGTCACCATTTTCAGCTGTGCACACAGAGACACTTCCACACTCAACCTTCGGCTTCCTCCTCACAACAAGAGGCACAGCTCCTCCTCCCAGGACACCAAAACACCTTTTTTCCATGCCTTTTGATTCAAACCCCTCAGGAAAAGGCCTCTCCCCGAGCGTTCCCGAGCCCGTGGAAGGGTTACCTGGTCGGGGGGTAGGAGGGAGGAGCGGTGACGGGCTGCATGGGGTAGCTGGCAGGCACCTGGGGGTAGCTGTAGTTGCTCTGCCCGTAGCCCAGGCTGGGCTGGCTGTAGCCTGTCGTGCTGGACTGGGGCTGGCTGGTCTCTGCTGGTTTGCTGCCATCCTGGGGTCTGGGGACAAAGATGGAACAATGTCAGTGCCCAGCTCCACACCTGGAAGCAGCAAAGGGCTCAGATCCCCCCCTGTTTTTGGGCTGGCTGTGATGGGTGGCAGCTGCTCTGGCAGCAGTATATAAAATAATATACAATAATATATAATAATACATAATAAACATGATTTTGGCACTCAGTGACCGGGTATTTGCACACCCCAGGAAAGGCCCAGGCAGTGCCCTGAACAGAGAGCACGGAGCACCATGGATCGTGTCCATCCCACAGCCCAGGCAGTCAGAGCTCAGACTTGGCTCTGGGGCTGAGGGGAGGGTGTGGAATGCCAGGAAGGCGGTTGGCAGCACTGCCCTGTGCTCCAGCTGGTTCTGCACAGCCCTGGGAAAGCAGGAGCTGAGAGCAGCCAGCAAGGCAGGCCCTGAAATGCCCCATTGTTTGGGTGAGAACTCAGCTCACGCAGACATTGCCTCACGTACCTTATCCCGTGGAAGGGAAAGGACACTGGGGTTGGACTGGGTGACCTTTAAAGGTCCCTTCCAACCCACACCACGCTGTGATTCTGTGTGCAGGATTAACTCCCAAGGCCTGAAATTAGAGAAACCTTTGCATGTGATTCCCAAGGCCCCTTCTGTGTGTCCCACAGTTTAACAGCGTGTGGATGTGGCACTTGGGGACATGGGTCACTGGTGGCCTTGGCAGTGCTGGGGGAATGGCCAGACTTGATTTCAGAGGGCTTTTGCAACCTAAATGATTCCATGAGTCTGTAATTTCTAAGTGTTTCTCAGAGTGAAGCTACTTTTGCTGTAAAAGCTGGGAAAAATTTTTTTACAATGTCAGGATTCACCCTGAGAATTCCCATCCCTTTGAAGTGTGACCTGCCAGAGCTGTGCCAGGCTCTGCCTCTCCTCACCACAGTGCTTGCTACAAACACCAGCTAAGGGACTGCATCAGCTTTTCCTCACTATTCAACAGGTTCCCATTAATTTTTCACATCCTCTGAGCAAACAGTTCCAACAAAATACCTGACAGGCAGTGCTCAGATGGGAGAGGTTTAAAAGGGAAACGCTTTGCAGTGTGAGCATCCCCCCAGCATCCTGCCTGACCCCGGGGCTGTTTTTGGCTCTGCTGTGTGAGCTGAGAGCCTGGTTTGTGTGTGTGGCTGTTCCCTCATCCCCCAGGAACGGCTCTGACTCACAGAGCTGGAGCTCAGCCCTCCCACGCCGCTCCCCTGGCAGCGGGAATGGCGCTCGGGGAGATGGGCAGGGAGCAGGAGCTGCAGGGGGGAACTGGGGGTGAGCACAGCACAGGGAGGAGGAGGAGGAG